GTGCATGCACACTCTAACCCACCAGCTGAAACTCCCTGCGCCTATCATAGGCGTTCTGTATGCCCGAGTCTGCCCACAGGGCCTTAATGGCGGGCAGGTACTCCAGGAAAACCGATGTCTCAAGCTGCCCACTGGTCATCTTGGCTGAGCGGGTGTCGAACGCCATCAGGTTGTCGCCGTGCGGCTGGTTGTCTTCATCACCCCACGGAATGTGCAGCTTCTCACGGGCGTCCACCAGCACACGTATACCTGGAAAAGGAAGTCAGATGGCAACTTAATAGTGGAAAGGGGTAGTGAGAAGGGCAGGTGAAACAAAAGTAACCCAACACCTGTGTCCTTTGGAGGCCTGCTGTGTCTAAAAAAATAAATAAAATACAAAAAAAATGATGATAGGGCAAGAAAAAGTGGAGTTGATTTTAAGGTAGCACATGATTAACATAACCCTGTTACTAGTCAGATTTCAGGGTTTTTCCTGCTTACACACAATTTCCACCAAAGAGGTCTTAGCCTCCCCTCAAAGGAAAAATAAAATCACCACCTTGTGCTAACCATCACTCTACCCAATTTTTCTTTAACTGACCTTTCATTCAGTCAAGAATAAAGCACATTTTGCTGATATAATGACCAGAAATAACAAGAAAATTCATAACCTTCGATAAAGCATGACCAATCAAGCTTCAAAAGCCACATTATAAGCCGGGGAAATCCCTGTATTCATATTACGTACTATTTACGTTTATTTCAGACTGACAGTTTATTCATTAAAAAAAAATATACAGGATGTGCTGGTCACACCAACACCTTACTTTGAAAATGGCCGAAATAACTGTCGGGTTATATACAATTTCGTGACTATTAAAAAGCGACGCTTGAGCCTTGTTGGTATTTACAGACGATTTTGTTTAACGTGGACAACACCAACGTAAAGATTTCTCTTTCATTCAGTCCATGGACAAAGAGGAACACCTTACAGCACACCACACTGGCGGGTTGCCCTCCATTAGCTTCATCCCGAGCTTAGTTATTGAGCAACAAAACTTGCCTGTAGCTGATTTAAAACCGCGGGTAGTGTTGGTTAAAGATATCACAAAAAACTTGATTCGCTGTATTTGGTATAGCTATGCTAAACCCCTAGAAAGGTTAAGCTTTTAGGACAAACGAGGCTCCTATGGGTGTGCCGAGAGCAGATGTAGACTGTTTATGTGTCCTCTCACCCAGCCCAGCGCTGCTAAACAGATGTGGAAACTTTCCAGTGCCTTTTAACCGAGTAAAAGGGCGATTTTCACGCCCTTTAAGTTTCCAGCCCTCGGTAGCGAGGTTACCTTTGATAACATTGCTGTAAATCGTTGCTCTGAAATCCTCTCGGGCGTGCTGGTCGAAGTCCTGGCCGTGGATGATCCGCATTTGTTTGAGGAAAGTCGACTTGCCGCTCTCGCCAGCGCCGAGGAGAAGGATCTTCACCAGCCGTTTTACATACGTTTTCTCCTTGGAGAGACATCTGTCGATCTCTTTGGACTTTCTCAGCTGTTCCACCTCGCCGCTGTTAAGCAGGCAGACGGGTAGACAAACTTTTAACACGGACCTGGTCGGCAGGAAATCCGCCATGTTCGCACAAACTTCATCGATGCTAATTTGATGCGCGTTCTCGGGCGCAGGCACGGGACCAAGCCCCTTCCCTAAACTCAGGAAGTACCGCTGCTGACTGTTTACCATCAATCTTAAGGCACAGCCTACTGTGCTATTTACGCGGATATGCCTCACATAAACACGTAATATTGTCCGTAGCTACGTTTGAATGGAAACACACAAAAATAACTTTATAAGCAACATACTGAAATTTACACGCGAATACATTTTCAAGTTTTAGAGGTCTAATTGCACGATACACTATAAAAAGAATTAATAGGCGTTAACGGCTATAATTAAAGTAAAAAATAAATACATAAAGTTTTCATAATTAACATTAAAATAAATATGAAGGAAAAAAGGAGAGTTGACCGGTGGTGGCATGTCGCCCTCTACTGGTGCAGTATAGAAACACGTTGAAAAAAAAAAAAGACGCGCTCCGATTGGTTGATTCGTTTCACACTTTTAGACATGCTGCTTTCAGAGACTGCAGGAAATATTGCTATCTGCAGTTGAACGCTCTGCTGAAGAACAATAAAATTTGAAATCTTGACGGAAAATAACTTGGTTTTGTGAAAGTGGATGTATTTGACCTTCTGTCTTTGCGTTTATAGCATTGATGAGATAAAGAACACTAAATTATTGCCTATATTTAACTAAAACGGCTTCACATTGCAATTACTTAAACCTATTTTAGGCAATTCTTTGTTACTCTTATTGGAACTGTCAACTTTTTATTACGTGCCTGAAGTGCCACACGGGTAATTTAATCCTAATTCAATTTAAAAATGATAAAATATTGGCACATTAACAGTTTCCGTTTTTCCAAGTGAGAGGTTTAGGGGGGGACATTTGAAGGCAACATCACCATCGATCAGTGTTGCACTTCCCCTCAAGCATCCCCACACGACACACAGGGCTCTCACAGGCGGCAGCAGTGTTGTATGTGTGTGTGTGTGAGAGAGAGAGAGAGAGAGAGAGCGGTGCAAAGCATCACACAACATGACCATCCGAAACGTTCTCCGGGATCATGGACAGAGGTACCGACCACGGATGGCTTGTCTCAAAAAGGTGGGCTGCACAGCTTACATTAGATGATGTAAACCAGAGCACAGGCTTATAGATTATACCTGCTGCAGACGCATCATTAGTGACTTGTATAAATTCTCTAACGCAATGCTTGGACTGTATTGGCTTACAGGAACCTCACAAACCCAGGCTGTTGTCGGCATTTGCACTATAATAATCTATAATATTCTCTGGAAATCCCAATGCTTTCATTGAATAGATTTATTAAGGATGGTCATTCCGTTAAGGATTAAAACCCACAGGAACCATTTGGACTACAACAAGCTTTAGGGAAACCCAATAGCAAACATGCATTTCTTTAATAATATGGACTTTAGTTATTAAGGGTTATTAGAGATGTTATTCATATACTCATGTTTCAGAATGATGTCAACATACTGTAAATCAGATGTCATGTCAGCTTCCCCCTTACACTCTATATAGCTGTCAGACTGTGTTCTGTTTCAACCTTTTCACTGTGATAAGGTCGTTCTGTTTAATAAGCATTAGGCCTGGATCAGTATCAATACCTCCATCTACACCAACCAGCTGCTGGAAAGAAGTTAATCCAGGCGCTGTGTGAATTGTGTGTGTGTGTGTGTGTGTGTGTGTGTGTGTGTGTGTGTGTGTGTGTGTGTGTGTGAGGCCAGCCAGAGCAGTCCTTCATTCATCATCTCATATTTAAAATTCAGTTGGATGGTCACCAAAGAGAATGTTTTAACATTAGAAAAAATAAATAAATAAATGGAAGGAAATAATCAAGACATGAGCTTCCAGATGTAGCACTCACACAGTGTCCCCCTCTCTCCAGGGGAATGCACACAGAATCCATTTCCTGGAGAACTTTGTGTTTTGGTCAATGAAAGCCCACTTTGGTCCAGCTCAGTCTGGGGCTTATAGCCTCTCCAGGTTGACTTCAAAGCACAAAGCCACTTCAAAAAGACCCAGGAGTCACCTACAAACACACTCTCTCTCTCTTTCTCTCTC